CACCAACTAACGTTCATGACTTCGGACAACAACAAACCACAGTGAACAACAGTGGGAAATGTTGTTTTAAAAAACGGACGGATGGGAGCGTCGATAAGAGCACGGTTGTGTGCAAATTATGCAAAAAGGAATTCGCATATCACCGCAGCACATCAAGCCTCAAGTATCACCTCAATGCAAAACATATAGCAGCTAGCGTGGAAGCTAGCTGGTTAGCCTCTTTTATCGCGTTCACACCAAAAAGAGCCGGTACTAAAATTAGTTCATGAGAACCTTTTTACCCCCACGAAAGTCCCTGCTAGAGAGCAGAGAGCAGGGACTTTCATACGGCTCTCTTATGAGAAAAGAGCTATATTTCTGATTGGCTGGGCGGATTGCAAACCACGCCCCGTAAAACTCCCAAAAAGTTTTGTGAATTTTATTATCCTCGCATTAGCATTATTAGCATTAGCCCAGCGCAGAAACGCAGAGAGACTAATTTATGGCAACACAAAATAAAACATGGGAGCGGTGGAGATGAGGAGGTGTCGGCGTTCTGGCGATTTACTCGGAAGGCTGCTGGGACTCCCAGCAGCTTCTACTGAAGCCAGTCCCCAACTCCGGGGACTTCCGGCCGGGGACTTTGGGCGGCAGTATACGCCGTGAAGTGGTTTGCGGCCTGCCAGTAAACCCAAAGCAGAAGAAGAAGAAGTGACGTCAGTGGCTTCATTTGCCTAATCCTCCTCCAGGTTCAAAGAGTTCTCATGAACTAAATTCTCATGAACCTTTGTGGGAAAAGTACTGCGGTGTGAATGCGCCTAATGGTATACTAAAATCCATGTGAAAAAAATTGCTTCTCACTGTTCTCAGGTCAAATATTTATATGTGATTAAAAATGCGATTAATTTCGATTAATTAATTACAAAGCCTCTAATTAATTAGATTAATTTTTTTAATCGAGTCCCGGCCCTAATATATATATATATATTTATATAACAAAACAAAAAGCTAACATCTCATTTCAATTATACATTTCAAATACAGTATTTTCCCACATATTTAAGTTATATTTATTTGGATTGATGCATTCGTGTTGAGAATGTTCCATTCAAAAATGTTATTATTAAAAAGGCATTTACACCGTAAAAGATGACTATTGAGATCTATTGTCAGGAATGTTAGTCTTATATGTATGGCCAGAGGGCAGGACCTATAAACACATTTACTACCCAATAGCATGGTGAGGCTGAACAAAAGGACCTGTTGACTATGTAAATGTAGTCTTTTAAAAAAACAAAAACATGTACTGACTTTTTTAGGATAGCTTAAAGTAATGTTGTAAAATTACAACTGGGGGCCTTACAGGGTTAAGGGCTATTGTTTATTGTTATTTACTTTAAGATGTTTATTCTTAACCTATCATTTGATTTAAAAACTCTTATTTAAATGATGTGTGTGTCTCTCTGTATTCCTGATGATACACTGAGAGAATGAGCTCATAGGGCTGCTGATCATCATAAGCTAAACAGTCTGTATATTGCACTACATTTGTATAATGTCAGCTTCGTTGATACTTTGCCTGCGGGAATACGAAAAAAATAGTTAGATATACTGAATATTATTTGATCTATTCCACCACTAGCTTAATCCCAAATAATGTAGAGGTGTGTTGTAGGTGCCTTAAATAACCCCTTATTTTATAGTGCGATGTATTTTTATGTTCATATAATAGTGATTTCAATGCCACCCCAAAATGATCACTGGTTCCATCCTGGCCACCCCACTGAAAATAGCCTGGCTCCGCCACTGCCGGTTGCACCAGCCTCATTAACTGTTTTATGATTAACATGCGAAATTTCCTGCGGCAAATGTGAAGATTCAGGCTGCGCAAATCGAGAATAGGTCTGAATTCCCCTGTCTTCTTGGGAACCAGGAAGTACATGGAATAAAACCCCCTTTCTCTGTGCTGAGGATGCACAACAGACACTGCCTCTTTCTGCACCAGGGCCTGAATCTCTGCTGAGAGGAAACTCATCTCCTCCTGGGAGGACAGAATTACCTCTCGCATGCCTCTGAATGGAGGTGGGATGCTGCAAAACTGGAGTGAATAACCCCGTTTCAGCGTCCTGTCCATCAGCTCTGACAGCTGAGTTTCCATTCCCCATACTATTGAGTTAACGGACAAGCCCTCAGCTGTGGGGCCGCAGCTACAAAGCTGTGATACTCTCTGGTGACCCGTTCCGCCGCAAAAACCCCCGTGAAGGGAAGATTTGCCCATGGAGGGTCGACACAGAAAGGGCCGATTATTTATTGAGGTCCCTGAACGCACGGCCAAAGAGAGAGCTTAGGCTCCGCCATAATGCAGCTCTTACCACTATGGTAAACTGCATTAATTGGAGCCTTTATTTTAAGCGAAGTGTGTTCCCTAACCATAATGCGCCGACCAACAAGCCCCTGCACCCGCATAGCGCTTCTATAGCACTTCCTGCGGTTTATCTCTCTCATCTGCGCATGCCCACTAGCTATCTCCTTTACAGGAGCAACAACCGGGGTAGCGAGTGGGGAATATGTACAGTCAACAACGTGTGTGAGTGCAGGATTGTGAAAACAAATGACAATCAGACTTGGATACAGGTCACTTCTTTCTTTATTAGTTTCTCTAATAACAGGGACCTGGGCATTGAACAAGGAGGAGGTGGGATCCACCCTAGCGTCCTGGGTGGAGAGACCCGTTGAGACGCTTCCTCCCCCCGCCCGTCAGCTGTGTGCAGGTGGAGCGCCCCATCCGGCGGTCCTCTGCTGCTGCTGAGACTGCCGTGGCCGGGCAGCCCGACCCCGTGAGTGCCGGTACGCTGGTCCCACGGGGTGGGTCGAAGAAGCGGGGGGCGCTACAGATACGGGATTAACGTACCGGCGCCTCTCCCTCTGTTTTGCTGTTGCGCTGCGCTCCGCTGCCCACTGAGGAACGCGCTGCACTTCCTGGGGAGAAGCTAGCGGTAGCGTGCGGCTAAGCTGCAGCCTCTCCTCTTCCAGACGGCTAAAACGCTGGGTGACCGAGGCTATAGACCCAAAGAGCCCTTCCGTGGAAACGGGGGCTCCAAGGAGATCCGCTCGATCTTTTTTGGACAGTGCGGTGAGTCCCAGCCACACATGACGAGACGCCACTGTGGCTCAGGACATCACCCGCCCAGCTGCGGTGGCCACTCCATGGATCAGATTATTCATCTGACCTATGCAACGGTCCGGATAATCTTCCCCGTCCTGAGACGGGAGAGCGGGGGCGTCTGCTCGAGGAGTAATCAAGGAGACGCCCAACACACCCAGATTATTGTCCGCAGCCGCCATCTGTGAACCGAGTCTGAACATTTTATCCAAATATTCCAAAGCCTCCCGGTCCCGCGGCAGCGGGGGCAGAGGTTTCTTCCCCTCCACCCAACCAGCTGATCGCGGCAACAGATGGGCCGCCAGGCTCTCATCGAGGGGGGGCACGCCAGAACACACCGTGTCTCGGCCCTGCACCCTGATAATGCCCGACATAGATGATATGGAGGCCTTCGTCTTTAATGGACGCCGCCATGTCGCCTCCACACACTGCCAGATGTCTGGCAACGGGGGCGAGACGTAGGCCGGGCCGTAAAACCCCTGCCTAAGGCGGTTTATAGGCCTTGGTGGCAGCGGTGGGGGGAGCGATAATCCTACACGCTCGGCTGCCTGGGTCATCACCGCTGGAAAGTCCAGACGCGCAGACCTGAGTGCTGGGCCCTCCTGGACGTCAGAACCGGGGGTGTCGGACAAGGAGATGTCGTCATCCTCCTCCACGAAGTCAACCACTCGGTCCCTCGGAAGGACGAACTCGAACGGAACGTCCTCCAGATCGTCCATGTCCACCACCTCGAGGTCCTCCTCTTCCTCTACGTGCACCTGCGGGCTGAACTTCTGCACGATGCCGGCGGTTCAGCATCGGGATCGAACGGCAGGCAACGCAGGCCGGTGTCTGGCCTATTCCCTGCTCGGCATGATCCTGTCCCAGGCACTGGAAACACTGACGATGCAGATCTGCTCCCGCAATCAGGCCAGGGCACGACGGGCAATTACGATGCTCCAGGAGAGGCTCCATTTTCAAAATACTCTCGCTTTCTTCCTTTCTCTCAATAGTACGTCTCGGACTCAGTGCTAGGCTATCACCTCCGCTCGCTGAAGAGTAAAGGATGATGGTCAGGAGGCGAGGCCTCCTTTTATACGGAAGTGAGATGCGCACGCATTCAGGTAGGCCCGCCCCGGGGCCGGCTACGTCCATAGAAATCTCAGTAGGTGAATGCTTGCATGATAAGGTAGTACCCATAGAGTCCAGTAGAGGGCGGAGCCTGTGAGAGATATAACCTCCTAAATGTAGCAGCAGAAGAAAGTGGCCCAGGATGGGAGAAGGGCATCGTCCAGCCTGCGCTGTGAGGGTTCATGGATGAAAGCCTCAGCCAAATGTAATGTAATGAATGTGCTTGGGAGGGGAGTTTCATGTATCACTGAAAGATGGAGCCAATGTCAGATATGCTCTGAAGCAGCCTAAAAAATGGCTGAAGAAGACCTGGTTTAAATTCAAGACCTGGCTCTTCTGGCAGGCCTTTTGTATTGTCTCTTTATAGATTAAGAGTTCCTAATGACTACTGTTGAGGGGTATGAGAGGAAAACCAACAAGCACCTGCACAAATAACTCATTCAGTGATTGTGGCTGATTCACCTCAGCTCATGTAAAGGACTGCTGTTTGTAGAGTGTTGTATTTAACAAAGCAGGAATGCTATCAGAGAGAAATATCAAAAGAAGGGTTTTATTGCTTTTCAATGCTATCTGTGAAGAAAATGCAATCTATTAATCAGATGCTTATGGAACCTATTTTTTAAAAAGGAAATAGCAGTATTCTAATGCTCCGAAATCAAGTTTTTCATTCAAATACGGTAGTTTTTAAAGACAATACTGTAAATAAAACAATGGCTTTGAACCCTAAGTCATTGTATAGCTGTCTCACCTGAATTGTGACTATGCGCGGCAAAGGTTGCCGTGTGTTGGCTCCTCCCTCTATAGCCATGCCAAGGGTGTTTGAATTCTTCACCACTCGTACCAAGGTAGCGTTCGGCACTGGTGAGCCACACTGCTGGGACACATAGGGAACACAGGTCACAAGCGACAGCAATTAAGAGCAGGGTCCAACTTCATTTGTCAAATGTGTAAAACCCTTCACCTTTATGCAACATTCAAACATTTGTATTATGGTAGTGCCTTTTTTTTTGTACCTTTCAGGAACCAACAATTTTGAAAAAGCTAACAGTACGTCCACACAGCAGCTTTAAACAAATCTTCCAACGCTTCTCTGCCCATTGACTTTGAATGGGGATGACGTCACTTTGCCTCGCTTTTCGCCGAACTGCATTGTGGGGGAGCGAAGCGAAGATTTCCAGGATTTCCAGGATTTTCAGGATTCAAAAGTTGAGCAATGTTCAACTTTTGAAGCTGAGCTGGAAGCGTCAGCCAATCAAATCCCGTTTATGCAAATCTGACAGTACAAGCGCTAGCCAATCAAACCGCGTGTAAGCAGGGAGAGCCAGACCACAGTTCATTTCCTCATATTCCAAACGAGAAATTACGGTAGCAAATCACCCGGTTCTTTATGACCAGACTATTTACCAGGATACAAACCGGAGGAACCAGGCATGGAGGGAGGTGGCAGAGACAGTGGGTGAAACTGGTAGGTTTTCGCCTGTTTGGGGAGTTTATATATATATTGCTCGCATAAAATCCCTGGTTTTTTTTGCTTTGTATGTCGGGGGCGGGAGATTCATGTGATTGGTTGTTGGTCGCGTTGCTCGCAAAAAATCCCCAAGCTTTCAGACACGCCCAGCTCCAAGATTTTCAAGATTTTTTCAAAGCTGCTGTGTGGACGCACCGTAACTGATGGATGAGCTGTTAAAGTGTTTGGACGTCATCCAATCATTCAAAATTACCTTCTCTACCTTTTATTTGTGCAACTGAGTGCTGCAGTGTAAATTGATTGTATCTCAAAATGTGTGCCATTATCCCTATTTGTACCATTTATGCACCTCACCCCTCATAGCCGTTTTTTTTTTTCGGGTTTGATGCTTTTCATACCTGGCTAAAAAAACGAATTTGCACCTACCCTGAACTTAAATGACCCACTAAACTAATGTAAGCATTTTTTCCTCAGATGCTTTGACTTGAAATTATGCTGCTTAAAAAACCCACAATATCAGTGTCTTATGAGGAAATAGGGAGCAGGTATACATGTGTTGATGGTCAGGATGCTGAAGGCAGAGAAACTGTGAGGACATCTGGTGGGCAGGTGGGATATGACGGTCCATGGGTATCTATAGAACAAGATACGCTAGAATTGGGTCTAGGTTCGTTTTTTTCAGCACAGGTTGAACTACTGCATGTTTGTAGTGAGCTGGGACACAACCACATTTCAGGGAACTGTTTATAATGAAGACCAGGCATTGAGGCAAACGGTGAACTTCGAGCTTAGTGGATTTCCACAGTCGCTCTCTCCTACGACATCTTCGCCGGAGACAGCGAATGGTGTCATCCAACCAGGGAGACGGATTTATGGAGAGGACAGATCGCAGTTTGCATGGAGCCACTTTATCCAAAATTGTGGAGCAATGAGTGTAAATGATTCAACCAGACAATTAACGTCTGTTTGTGAACACAGTGCTGTGCTGTGGATCGAAAGCTGCACAAACAACAGACTCTCACTCCATAATCGTCCAGGAGCGACGCTTGGTCAGGGTACCGTGGCGTGCAGTTGTGACGCTCCTAGGCTCCTTCAGCTTCATAAAGGGACGCAAATAGCTTTCAACTGATTGCAATGTATTCCCATCTGCGGCGGGATTTGACGCTCATGGAAGCACGGCATTCGTTTGTGTCGGCTGCCCTTAAAGGCAATGTGAGCGTCCATTCTCATTGGATAACGGAGAATTGTACACCCGGAAGTAAGTATTCCCCTTACTGTCGATTGATTTTACAGTGATATCTGCACTACTCATCGACTAAAAAACACCAGATTATCCTTGTTAGTTACACAACATTGATTGGTTTAAATTGTGTGCAATGCTTTTGTATTTTTCCCCTTCGATTCGGAGAAACAAATATTTTTTCGGAGTAAAGGATGGCAGAAGACACTATACTACCCAGAATCCCAAGCTATCGTTTAGGACTACACCATGTGCTCTGTTTGACAAACCCCGTTTTTTTTCACCATTCATTCCAATGGCTGGCGTCTATGTCACGTGATCTTCAAATTTCTCCCTGCAGAAAAAAAAAACATGGCCGAACTTCGTTTTATTCTCGGTGTAAAATGCCTATTTTAAAGTTAGTTTGGCCATTAAAATGCGTTTTGATGTCATTTGATGCGAGAAATATGAGTTGTTATTTCAGATGATGTGTGCAGTGGATGTACATGATCTTTAGTTTGCTAGTTATTACGAAGATTACTTCAGGAAATTGCGTCCATAGAACGTTTTCATTGATACCAAGGTGGTTGCTAGGAACGCTGCTATCGATATTATTTCTGTTATGTTGTGTAACTGTTTAATGGTGTTATCTTTATTGCTACCCCCTTCCCTGTCAATGTATAGTGTTGGTCCACAGCGCAAACATATTAGTTTAACAAAATCCGCATCTAAAGATACGTTATTTTCCCCTGTGCAATTCCAGTCTCACATCTCACAGCACATCGTCATTAACAAATAACGGAAACAGACCGAAAACATTTAAAAAAATAAAATAATACTTTATTCCGAGTGTGCTTGCTTTTCTCTTTGAAAGTCATCACATAACGGCATTGTAATACACGGTTCGGCTGCATTAAATATTACATATCTGCCGTAGTTCTGTATTTATAGAGCCCTGAGGAGAAGACTTCTAGACAAACATGAGGAACTGCCGCCAACACTGAAAATGTGACGTGGATCATAAATATATCAGCAATTAAACAACATCTTACATGTCTTTTCACACAATACGTCTCCTTGCAGTATCAACACTAATTCGGCAGACTTTTATATTTGATCCAATTGGTAGATAGGCTGTATTTACACCATAAAGCAACACACTCTCACTCCCTAAGCGTCCAGGAGCGACGTTTGGTCAGTGTCCGTAGCGTCCAGTTGTGACGCTCCTAGGCTCCTTCAGCGTCATAAAGGGACGCAAATAGCTTTCAACTGATTGCAATGTATTCCCATCTGCGGCGGGATTTGACGCTCATGGAAGCACGGCATTCGTTTGTGTCGGCTGCCCTTAAAGGCAATGTGAGCGTCCATTCCCATTGGATAACGGAGAATTGTACACCCGGAAGTAAGTATTCCTCTTACTGTCGATTAATTCTACAGTGATATCTGCACTACTCATCGACTAAAAAACACCAGATTATCCTTGTTAATTACACAACATTGATTGGTTTAAATTGTGTGCAATGCTTTTGTATTTTTCCCCTTCGATTCGGAGAAACAAATAGTTTTTCGGAGTAAAGGATGGCAGAAGACACTACACTACCCAGAATCCCCAGCTATCGTTTGGACTACACCATGTGCTCTGTTTGACAAACCCCGTTTTTTTCACTATTCATTCCAATGGCTGGCGTCTATGTCACGTGATCTTCAAATTTCTCCCTGCAGAAAAAGAAAACATGGCCGAACTTCGTTTTATTTTCGGTGGAAAATGCCAATTTTAAAGTTAGTTTGGCCATTAAAATGCGTTTTGATGTCATTTGATGCGAGAAATATGAGTTGTTATTTCAGATTATGTGTGCAGTGGATGTCCATGATCTTTAGTTTGCTAGTTATTACGAAGATTACTTCAGGAAATCGCGACGTTTTCATTGTTACCAAGGTGGTTGCTAGGGACGCTGCTATCGATATTATTTCTGTTATGTTGTGTAACTGTTTAATGGTGTTATCTTTATTGCTACCCCCTTCCCCGTCAATGTATAGTCTTGGTCCACAGCGCAAACATATTAGTTTAACAAAATCCGCATCTAAAGATAGCCCACGTTATTTTCCCCTGTGCAATTCCAGTCTCACATCTCACAGCACATCGTCATTAACAAATACCGGAAACAGACCGAAAACTTTTTTTTAAATAATACTTTATTCCGAGTGTGCTTGCTTTTCTCTTTGAAAGTCATCACATAACGGCATTGTAATACACGGTTCGGCTGCATTAAATATTACATATCTGCCGTAGTTCTGTATTTATAGAGCCCTGATGAGAAGACTTCTAGACAAACATGAGGAACTGAAAACGTGACGTGGATCATAAATATATCAGCCATTAAACAACATCTTACATTTCTTTTCACACAATACGTCTCCTTGCAGTATCAACACTAATTCGGCTGACTTTTATATTTGATCCAATTGGTAGATAGGCTGTATTTACACCATAAAGGTGCACAGCTGATATAAAGGGACACCTAGTGGTTAAAGCATGTTATTGAATTTCATTATTTTTATTATTAGATATTAATAGGATCCCTATAAAGTATATTCATTACTCGTTATTCTCTACTAATAGTTAATTAAAGACTGTATATAATGACTATTTTGCACATCCCTTTCAAGATTTTCTAAGGTTTATTGACATATCATATAGGCCTACACAACTATGGTGTAGTTCTGCATTGAATTAAAAACTTGGGTCGCAGGTTCCTCAATAGTGCATTACAAGACATATATCAATATTTGTGCATACTTCCAGCAATGTTAACTATGTTGAAGCACTTATTTTAACTGATATTATACATAATGTATTATACTCTTATAAGATGTATGTAGATATTTCATCTCCGGCCTTGTCAGGTATTGAACAATCAATAAATAAAGAACACAGAATTGTTAAATATAAAATACAGAATTTGTGTGATTATACTAAATGATTTACAAATAAACACCACTGCATATTTACAACGCGGTGGACCCGTTCAAATCCAGTTTTGGACAGTCTGCCGTGCATGGTTCCATCCCATTTCAAGTGCTGTTCGAGAATCGGCGTAACCCTCGGAGCACACTCTCCAATCACAGAGCTTGAGGACTATCACGGGGTTTGTCAAACAGAGCACATGGTGTAGTCCAAACGATAGCTGGGGATTCTGGGTAGTGTAGTGTCTTCTGCCATCCTTTACTCAGAAAAAACATTTGTTTCTCCGAATCGAAGGGGAAAAATACAAAAGCATTGCACACAATTTAAACCAATCAATGTTGTGTAATTAACAAGGATAATCTGGTGTTTTTTAGTCGATGAGTAGTGCAGATATCACTGTAAAATCAATCGACAGTAAGAGGAATACTTACTTCCGGGTGTACAATTCTCCGTTATCCAATGGGAATGGACGCTCACATTGCCTTTAAGGGCAGCCGACACAAACGAATGCCGTGCTTCCATGAGCGTCAAATCCCGCCGCAGATGGGAATACATTGCAATCAGTTGAAAGCTATTTGCGTCCCTTTATGAAGCTGAAGGAGCCTAGGAGCGTCACAACTGGACGCCACGGACACTGACCAAACGTCGCTCCTGGACGTTTATGGAGTGAGAGTGTGTTGGCACAAAACCTTTCAGCTGACATATGATTTAAGATGCGGGAGTATTTCAAACTTTTACTGGGTAGATAATCTAAGTTAAAGAACATGTTAAACAAAATACAACTATGGTCAGTAACACCTCGGAATACGCATCGTCAATGAATAAACCAAGTGTAAATACAAGGTCCAGATTATGCCCTCTAATGTGTGTGGGAGCAGACACGTGTTGAATAAAGTTAAAAGATTCCGTGACATTAAGAAAATCAGCAGCAAAGCCACAAGAGGTATCATCCACATGAATATTAAAATCACTAACCATAATAACCCTGTCCAACCTTATGATGGAGGATACAAAATCGCTGCATTCAGATATAAAAGAGCTGTTGAAACCAGGTGGTCTGTAAATTCAAATACTATAAAACGGGTTAGAATGACCAACTTTGGTTGACTTCAGTTCAAAAGAGGAGACGACTGCAGTGGTCACCAGCCGACTCTGAAAACAGTTCCTGAAAACCACAGCGAGACCCCCACCCCGGCCTGAGGATCTCGGGGTGCAGATTAAAGTGCAACCAGGGGGGCACAGTTCGATAAAAGGGGTGTAATCCATACATTTCTGCCATGTCTCGATCAGAAACAGAAAATCCAAGCCTTTAGAAGTGAACAAATCATTCAATAAGAAGGATTTATTTAAAATGGAGCAAGCATTCAACAGCGCCATACTGAGGGGCACAGCCATTGTTTATGTCATATGATGCTCTGCTATGCGTTGCATCAGTCTTTGCACACTAAGAAGATAGAGTTTCACTGATGTTCAGCAGAGAGAGGAGAAGAAGACAGTTGCTAAGCATGAAATACATTATATACTCCAATTTGAAACTGTTGAATATTGTTTGCATATGTTTTTTTCTCTTTCTTCACCTGCATCAGAATGTTTACTTTAAATCTTTGAATGATAAAACTCTTCTCTAGGTTTTTCCCCTCCCATATGTCTTCAGGCCTGCTAGTTGAAATAGCACGTGTAAATAGTTCTTATGAGTTTCTTTAAACCTACTTAAAGACCCAAATGTAGTTTGAAAGTCATTTTCACAAATATTCTGCTGTTTTAGTCATTCAACTTAATACATACAATACTTCCAATCATCAGAAAAGCCTTGACATGCCTAAAACTATTTTAAGATGAATGATAATGCAGCAGTTATAGAGTGTGAACAAAAAGTGCTGTGTTTTTCAGGACAAGGTCAACCTTGACAGATCCCTGCCCAGACTTTGAACTGTGATGGAGAGAAAGGACTGCGCCGCCCAGAGATCGATGCTGAGGCTTCTAATGAAGTCAGCTCCAAAATATTACTGTGCAATTGTTTGTGATTGGAAAGTGGAGTTCAAACATTAGTACCAGACATCTCTTTTATGATCTGCTTATTGTTTTTGATTTAGTATTTATTTTTTAATCTGTACTTGCATGCCCCAACTGGAATGAGATAAAACTGTATGATTTTTTCAGTTACATTTTTGTATACATTTAAATTAAAATGTTTCCACATGTCGCACTATAAATATTATAACTCTTGCTTTGGTGGCCAACAAGACAATCTAAGTCTGTGAATAGCGGTCAGAACCTGTTCTTTTGAGAACTTCATATCTTGTTAAAATGTTACAATGAAAAGAAAACAAATTTGAACAAACATTACACAAACAATACATTATTGAAAGCTTGTCTAACGCTGACATTAGTGATTTACCTCTCCTTGTATGCAGATGGCTTCAGATTTATATTTGTTTGAGTCGATTGAATCAAGGCAACAGGAGTAGTGTTGAACAGAGCTGAAGTCACACATTCTTAACAAATTGAGTTTAACAGGACAATCTGGATAAGAACAAACTAAACATGGTGCATCCAGCAACTTCTTGAAGGGATTATTTACCTGTCTGGTTCCTGGAGGGGGGGCATGGGCCCCTGGCTTTTCTAGATGGCCCTGCAGGTTCTTGCTGGGCCGAGGGCTGCCGTCCTTACTGAGGCCCCCTGCCTCGGCTATATCCACCCCACTGTCCTCACTCAGAGTCTGGCCACTGTCTGACAGCTGGGAGAGAGTGGCCCCTGGATGAAGCCCCACAGAGTTAGTCAGTCCACACATGCCGCGGTTCTGCTGTTACCTCAGAACCACATAGAACCATTATTCAACAAAGACATGCTATCTATCTCATATATAAATATTATATATAAATATGTATTTCCAACATTTTAATATGATTTGATGACACTTGTATTAGTATAGTATAGTATTTTTTCCATAACGGATTGTATATACTGTATAGCAAATATTCTAAAATATATATACATAACAAAATCACAAAGGCAATGTTGTTTATAGGTATTTGTAACAAATAAGAATTTCTCGCCCATGTAGAGATGGTCTCTGCAAAGGGAAACCAAACACTCATACGTGTACCTCTTTGCTGTGTTCGGCAGTCTGCAGACAGCCAGTTCATGTCGGTCAGGATGACTTTGTGGGTGAGGGCAGGGGAGCAGGGCCGGTCAGGACTACAGGTTGGAGCAGCAGGTGTGATGAGGGAGGGGCAGGGGGAGGGACATGGGGAGGGGCGAGGTGATAGATGAGGGGATTGCATGGGAGATGCAGCTTTTGAAGAATTAGCTGACTTTGCAAAGTAAGAGGACTTCTCATAGGAGCTAGATCTGCAAGCCATCCTGACAGATGCCTCCGAGGGCTGCCGGGGAGGCAGGAGGCCGGGGCAGGTGTGGGGTCCTGAGCTGTGCCAGTTGCTGGCCCCATGCTGGTGGAAGGGATGAGCGAAGTTGGAGTGGTTGTATTGTTCAGGGTCAGATATTTGAAGGGAACTCTGGCATGTGTGATTAAGTGCATTGAGGGAAGCGTGGTGGCTGGCAGCAGCACAGGTGTGTTGGGCAGAGGGAGGCAAAGACTGCTGGGTGCTGGGGAGGGATTTGAGGGACTTGTGGAGGCAGTCCTGGAGCAGCCGTATTGGGCCAGTGAGAAGGGGGCTGGAGCTGAGCTGCCCCCGGCGGGCTGGAGGCTTCCTGCTGGGCTCCTTGTCCCTGGACAGCCTGCTGTGAGCCTGGGGGGAGGCATCTCTTGATAATGCGGGAGATTCACCTGAAGCACGCATTTCAGCCTGTCAATGAAAAAAGCTCCTCTATATGAGTTTAAAAGCTAACAAAATGAACAAGGCTTATACAGATTACTGGTTCATTTAGTGACAGCTGTGGTTGCAGACTTTTCCTCTCAAAATTAAATGAGAGGATTAATAGACTGGAAGCTAGGAAACCGCTGGCCTGGCTCTGTCCAAAGTTGAAAAACTCCAAATAATCACAACTCTAAAGCATTCAAGAAGACACATTCTGCTGATGTTCAGGTTCATATCAGTATGTAGTGTCTCTACATGTCTCCATGCTTTAATGTTCAAAAAGCTCTTTATCTTTCTCCTACTGCCTGTGCTGCAGCACCTCTTTTCACCCTCCGTCTGAAACCAGAGCCCACTCAGCTCTGATTGGTTAGTGGACGGCTCTGTTGTGATACAATACATCCTTAATGGACCACCTCCTGGGCCTTCCTTAATCTTGTTGCATTGATGTATCATGTCCTCTGAAAATATAGTAATACTGTGGTGTGAGGCATTATATGTTGATTTGTAATCTTTGTCTTTATTAGGATCCCCATTAGCACTAGCATGAGCATTGGCTATTCTTCCTGGGGTCCTCACACACACAAAACATACATACACATACATACAACAAAATTAAAACAAAACAGCTCATAATTTCATGCAATTTACAGTGCTGTATGAAATGAAAACTAAAATGGTCATCTAATTTTCGCCATCCTAAGGCCAAACAAAAAAATAGAAATAAGTGTACATAATAATATAGACATACCCACAGGCACAGTTAAATGTTAAAGAATTTCAGCTGATCATGGCTCTGTACATGACTGTTTTCTGTCACATATTTGATTTAGATTTGGGTAATAAAAACCTTCCTTCTATTGCATGTCGTGTTTGATAGTTATGTTGAGCATATTGCGCTATAAACCTTTGTGATAATCTGGTGAGTGAGTCACTGTAATATTTCTGACCAAATGTAACAAAATATAAACTGACCTCTGTCTGACAGTTAACCATTTCAGTGTCTCCAGCATTTCAGTGACTTTGGTTCTGTAGGAGCACTGCAGTGCACATCGTGCTGCCTTATTTTGTGCTACTTGTATTTTTCTGCAGCACTAGACTATAACCAAACAATAATCAAGCTGCGACAGAACCAAAGCATCCAGAACTTGTCTACTGACATCTATTGGCCAATATTTTACAATTATTTTTACAAGTGACACACCCCTTCCCATTTTACATACAACACTATCAATTTGTTTAGAGTAGACCGAGATCATTTATGATCCAGGGTCATACCTAGCAATGTTGTCTCCTTGACCTGTTCAATTTCAATATGGTTTAAATGTAATTGCAATTTTGGTTCACCTTTTAACTGATGATTTGATCCTATTAATAAAGATTTTGTTTTTCCAGCATTGAGTACTAACTTATTATTTATGACCCACTCTGATATCAGTAGTAGATCTTTATTCATAAAATTAGTCAACTGTCTTGTATTCGATGCTGCATCATGTATTGGTGAGTCATCTGCATACATTACAATTTTACTTTTTTTTTGGCTAACACTAATGGTAGGTCATTTGTGAAAATAGAAAATAAAAGTGGTCCAAAACAACTACCCTGAGGTATTCCACAAGTGACTGTCTTAATCTTTGAAAGACTTCCATTAAGAAAAATGACTTAACTTTCTAACTACCTCAGTGTATCAAAATTAAAACCATATTGTTCCAGGGTGTAACAGCAAAGAATAGTCAATGACATCAAAAGCAGAACTAAAATCAAGTAGTACTGCACCCACTAACTTCCTATTATCTAGTTCGCCCTTCCAGTCATCTGTCATTTGTCACAGCCGTGCATGTCGAATGGCCAAGGTTGCGGTCGAATAGTCCAAAAATCAGCTCCTATCGTCTATCCCTTGACCTCTGAGTGAAACGTCACGGGGTTAAGGGATAGTGGATAGGAGAATTCAAAAGGACTTAGGAGAAGAGACCGCGATACTTTAGAGAATCCGACTGCACTTTCACTATCCGACGTGTTTATGATGCGCCAGCGGACGTCCTGAATGTGCGTCTGCTGCTGTGGGGAAACTATGGAAACTACAGTTTTCTATACAGCGGACTACAACATGGATGTTCAATAAGAACGAGGGACTTCTGTAAACTCATCTAGAGACTCTGCACCGTGCTCTGATGCTGTTGCTTTGCTTTATGAACGGGGACAACAGAGAAACATATTCTTCATGACCAAAGTTGGAATTGAAATAAAAAAGGAAAGTGAAATGTATACTCGTCACCCTCTCCCTCCGGTCCACATCAATACAAATGATCCCAATACGTATGATTGTATGAACTATGAAAAGATCTTAAAATCAATACAAATGTATTTATTATAAACGTTAGTCTTTAACATCTATCATATCAGGACCTCGACACAAACTGATGAACCCAAATGCACGACCCAGAGACAAAGTCTTGAATATAAAAAAATGTATATTTATTTATACAGTTCAGGTAATCCCTCTTAACAGAGTAGGTGGTTTAAATAACAAAAGGCGCTCACAAGGAGGAAAAAACTAGCGTAACAAAAAGATAATTAAATCATTTATTAGACATGTGGAGTTACTTTTAATAGTTTGATTCATATTTCTCCTCAAATGATTCACTTTATCAAGAAAATAATCAAGAAAATAATTAGCCATTTGGACTGGTTTAGTCAATGTCACTTCCACCTCAAGATATGTTGAGGTGGAAGTTGGCTTACGGCCCATCATGCGATTTACTAAACTCCACAGTTTTTTCTTGTCATCCTTTATATCTTTAATTTTATTTTCGATAATACAATTGTTTTTATTTTTATTGAATGCTGTAACATAATTCCTTAACCTTCTATACATGTCCATCTGACTCATAACTTGATGAGAGCTACATGTTTTGCATCATCTCTTTGTTTCATTAGATCCCTTAATTCCTCATATAACCAGGGTGCTCTAAAGTTCCTTACTGCCTGCTTTCTAAGTGGAGCCTGTTTATCAATCACCTGCATGAATAACAAATTAAAGACATCAAGAGCATCATCTGGATCGACTTTCTCAAAAACATGTTTCCAACATATCTTTTGAACATCCTGTCTAAATGACTCTTCACAAAAATATGTCATTGATCTCCTCACAATTACTTTTGGTCCTGCTTTTGGCACCTTTGTCTTTCTCACGATAATGATTAAATTATGATCAGTACAGCAACATTTTGTAAATATATGATCAATACAAGTTGCACTTTTTGACCCATCTTTCTTTATGCATATCCTAGTAGGTTTAGTCACCATTTGTACCAAGTTACATGCAGTTATTGTCTGCAGCTTGTTTTTAAGGGCACAGTGCAACATATTCCAGTCAATGTTTAAATCTCCGATAAAATAAATCTCTCTGTCAAGATCACAAACTTTATCTAACATTTCACATCATTTGTCTAAATAAGTTAGGTTTGCATTTGGAGGTCTGTAACAACATCCTACCAACAAAGGTTTCAAGTGTGGTAAATGCATTTGCAACCAAAGTACTTAAATATCAGCAGACATCAAATCCTATCTCACTTTAGCTGGTATTTGCTTTTGAGTGTATACTGCCACCCCACCTCCATATGCATCCCTGTCCTTTCTAAATATACTGTATCCATCAATATCTACTGCAGCGTCATTAACTATGTCATCTAAGTGAGTTTCAGATATTGCTAACAAATGAATACCACATGATAATATTTCCTCTATCTCAGACACTTTCTTAGACTACATATATTTATGAGCCAATTTGAACCCTTTACTTGGTAACTTATTTGACATTAAGATGGCAATTTAAATGTTATCTCTTTTTCACTTCCTTTCAAATTGAGAGCTGAACTAAAACATACATGTAACACAATTTCAACCACACACACCATCACATACACAACCCAACATTTAACTGCACATAGATTGCTATACATGTGCATATTCACTCGCTCAATTAGACGAGCCTCCCGGTAGCTCCCAAACATTTTTAGATAATAGTCATTGTATGAAATAGATTCATGGTAATGCCTTACAACACACCAGATCTAATTAATAAATCAAAATTAAATTTTAGCAGGAATTAACAACAATAGAGACAGTTAAAATTGGTCTATATTCAAAATCGAATAAACCTAATCTCATAATCGCAGTTGATGAAGTAAGTAACATTCATCTCATGTCTGAGGTCTTGGTTGTTAAAGATTGACAAACATAGAAACACATTCATGAACAACACTGTGATCCCTGCGTGTGCATCTTATTTTGAATGCAGAATAAAATAAATGACACATACCATTGTCATGTTTTGTAAGGCATTAGTGTTCTCCTGGTTATTTTCTGTCAAGCCAGCAACAGAGCCGTCAGTCTGGAAGAAACAGCATGTAGTCATGTAATACTGCAGGCATGAGTCTGTAACAAACACTTAAAGTACACTTTACTGTAGCCTACTTAATCATGCCAGATGGAAGGATTCTCCCCACAGGACAACATAACGAGAGCACGGAAGTTTAGAGAGTTAGAACAAAGTGTTTGAGAAACAGTTTTAATTTGTTCTGTAAAATCTGAATAAGGTGATGGAACTACAGGCTGGAGTCTATCATTTCAATGAACTTTATTTTTTGTTACCACAAGCTATATGCTGTTGTTATGTGCTAGAATGCTTACTTGTTTTTGTACTTGTTTGCATTGATTCTGTTTTTATTTTGTTATCATAAATTGTGAAGATGATCAGAAGAAGAGGAATAGAGTCAGTAGAGGAAGAGCTGTTGATGGTGTACAGTCTTCTGTCCAGATGTCCAGTTTCACTGATAAAGAGAGCTAACCACTCCCATCTTTGAATTTTGTTTGGTTTTTGAAAGGATAAGACTAAATCATTTGATGTAAGATGAAGAACAGTACCAAACTAATGAATTGAATACAACAATGAAGGGAACATTCACACAGCAGCATAGATACCAGTCAATCACATTCAGTGCATACGTCCAATCCAACTTTATTTATATAGCACTTTAAAACCTTCAGACCAAAGTGCTGTACAGAGAGATAAGCTCACAAAACATCAAATAAATACATTTAAAATAAAAGATACAAACACAAAACAAACCAGAATAAACGTAATAATTAAAAAATTAAAAACAGCCATATAATAAAAAAACAATAGACCACTGAAAGCAACAATCTACTTGTTTACGAATGTTAAGGAGAAGAGGTGATACGAGGAGTGAAGCAGGTAGGACCCAAACACAGATAATACTGATGATACCTTTATTTCAAGGGCTAATATATCACATGGACAAACAAAACACTCCACGGTGAACTCCGTCACCAACAAAAGACGAACCAACGCTGAACACAGGAAGATACAAGACTAAATACAGGGAGGGGTAATCACAAGACGAGAAACAGCCGGGCAGGGGAGGAGAAACACAAGGGCCACAGGTGAACACAATCAGACAACTAGACACACCAGGGAAACTAACGACAGGAGGAAAAACACAAGGAAAAGGACCAGACAATATACAAGGAGGAAAACATGACAGGGAGAACCGAACAGCAAAATAAACCCAAACCTAGACATACAAAACTAAAAACGTGACATAACATAAGATTTGTGACAAGAGGTGGGTTTTAAGACGGGATTTAAAAACAGACAGTGTGGGAGCCTGTCTGATTAGCAAGGGCAGCTCGCTCCACAGTTTAGGGGCGGCAGCAGGGAAAGCACGGTCTCCTCTGCGCTTAGACTTTGTTGTTGGCACCCTCAGGAGCAACTGATCAGCTGACCTGAGAGTGCGAGTTGACATGTAGCTGTGTAACAGCTCAGAGAGGTAGGGCGGGGCCAGGCCATTGAGGGCTTTAAAAGTAAATAAAAGAGTTTTAAAATGAATCCTCGAATGAACGGGCAGCCAGTGGAGCGAAGATAAGATGGGGGAAATGTGCTCGTGTTTGCGTGTGCCAGTTAGTAGCCGTGCTGCTGCATTTTGCACCATCTGCAGGCGAGCAAGCGAGGATGCACTTATCCCCATATATAGTGCACTACAATAATCCAAGCGGGAGGTGACGAAGGCATGGATTACCGTTTCAAAGAGGTCACTATTTAAAAAAGGCCACTATTTAAAAGAGGCTTTATTTTGGCTAGCTGCCTGAGGTGAAAGAAGCTGTTTTTAACAACTGCCTTGATCTGGCTGTCCAGCTTAAGTTCAGGGTCCATCTTTATCCCAAGATTTGTGATGGTAGGACTGGTGGAGTGGCCCAAGGATCCTAGGTCTACAGGAGTGGTCCGAGGGGCACCAAAAATCATCACTTCGGTTTTGTCATCATTTAATTAAAAAAAAGTTGTATGACATCCAGGATTTAATGTCTTCAAGGCAGTTTAACAGTGGTTTAACTGAATATATGTCGTTCTTTTTAAGTAGCACATATATTTGGCAATCGTCTGCATAGCAATGGAAAGCGATACCGTGCTTCCTAAGAATGGACCCAAGAGGGAGCAAATACAGGGAGAATAACAGGGGGCCTAACACTGAGCCCTGTGGAACCCCAAAAAGGAGAGGAGCAGACGAGGACTCAGAGTCCGCAAGGCTGACGCAGAAAGTCCTACCAGTCAGATACGACCTAAACCATTCGAGGGCTTTGCCCCTAATGCCCACCCACCCACTGCTCCAAACGAGCTATCAGGATCTCATGGTCCACTGTATCAAAAGCGGCTGTTAGATCAAGGAGTAAAAGGATAATGCATTCACCTGAGTCTGTTGCTAAAAGGATATCATTAAAAACTCTTAAAAGAGCTGATTCCGTGCTGTGCAAGGTTTTAAAACCAGATTGGAAGACCTCGAGTACCTTGTGCTCTTCCAGAAAAGCGAGACGTTGACTGTATACAATCTTCTCTAGGATTTTGGACATAAAAGGCAATTTGGAAATGGGCCTAAAGTTTGCAAGAACTGTGGGATCCAGACTAGGTTTCTTAATAAGTGATTGTACAACTGCATGTTTCCAATTTTCCGGAACAACCCCTGTGAGCAGACTGCTGTTAACACTAGAACCGCCAATCGGATCAATTTGACCCAGAGCTGTTTTTTATTGTAAATAACTTTTTTTCAATAACATATTAAAGTCTCCCAGTCCGTGAATTTTCCTGAAAGTGTGTTATGTAGCACCCTATGTTGTTAAAATGTGTCAATATGAAGTCAGATTGAAGAAATCGCCAAAAAAATGGCCATTTATACCTATTTCCACCAAGCGGGTCATATTGACCCCATCCCTTTTCGCGCTATTGATTTTGCGTGTAAACACACATGACGTGTTGCTATAGCAACACCTTTTGTCTACTGCGGTTCCTTATAGATTGAGAGAGAGAGAGATAGATAGATAGATTGATAGCGACAGTCTGTAGTGAAGGAGCGCGCTCCCGCTCACGGGAGAATGCTCGCGCTGCGCTCCGCAGCAAACAGCTGTTTGCTTTTCACCCAACAAAGACAACTGCCTCACGAAACGCTATGTTGTACCGTTAATAAACGAAACAATTTAACAAAATTGCTTGTCAAAATACCAATACCACAGGACCATTTTTCTTTTTAAAGCAATACTTTTACCTTGAAAATCAATGCATTCTAATGCGGTTTTAGGTATAAAAAATCTCTGGCGGTTCTAGTGTTAAAAACGTCAAGAACAAGAGGTCCTATAGTGGAGAATACCTCTTTAAAAAATCGAGGAGGGACAGGGTCGATTGGAGAACCAGAGGGCTTTATTTTAGAGACAATCTCCTGCACAGAGGACAGAGTCATAGGCTCAAAACGGTCAAAAACAGCAAAGCAGGGGGCAGAGACAGAGGTGTCGTTTGATGGAGCAGTGATTTGAGTCCTAGTGGAAGTGACTTTATTAATAAAAAATTGAAGAAAATGTTCACAGACTGCAGGGGAGGTCTCCACACAGGTAGTCTGAGGGGCATTAAGAGCTGAATCTATTGTCTGAAATAGTACACGAGGTTTGTGACAGTTTAAAAGAATGATGTCAGAGAAATGTTTTATTTTTGCCTCTTTTACAGTTTTCTGATAGAGACGCCAACACTGCCTCAGTGTCTCAGCATTTGAAAAGAGACTTGTAGTTTGTCCTTATTCCATCTTCTTTCAGCTCTACGGCCAACACATCCTCACTCCCAGGTCGGCCTATGTTGACGTTATGTGAAGTCCCCTGTCGGCTTTTTCCAACGCAAGGGGGGGGGGCCTTAGCGTCCATTTTCAACGCAAGGTGGGGGGCCCTTAGCGTCCATTTTCAGCTTTCCGGGATGTCCATATGCTTCTATGGACGCTCATGGAAGCACGGCGTTCGTTTGTGTCGACTGCCCTTAAAGGCAATGTGAGCGTCCATTCTCATTGGATAACGGAGAATTGTACACCCGGAAGTAAGTATTCCCCTTACTGTCGATTGATTTTACAGTGATATCTGCACTACTCATCGACTAAAAAACACCAGATTATCCTTGTTAATTACACAACATTGATTGGTTTAAATTGTGTGCAGTGCTTTTGTATTTTTCCCCTTCGATTCGGAGAAACAAATATTTTTTCGGAGTAAAGGATGGCAGAAGACACTACACTACCCAGTATCCCCAGCTATCGTTTGGACTACACCATGTGCTCTGTTTGAAAAACCCCGTGATAGTCCTCAAGCTCTGTGATTGGAGAGTGTGCTCCGAGGGTTACGCCGAGCCTCGAACAGCACTTGAAATCAGTGGCGTTTTCTCCCGGAGGCCAAGGGAAGCCAGGCTTCCCCTGTTTTTTCGGATTGTAGTTATAATTGTAATAAATAAATAAAAACACTTCGTTTGGTTTCGGTAATTTTTCTATGCTGTGTGTTTCTGCCGGCCCGTCTCTCCCCCATTCTCATTGAGTATTTCACAAAGAGTGAAACAGCGGCCCTCTACATGTTATGGTGAAACAGTAGATGGCACTCTCTGTTGCGAGAGGAGGCTAGCCGAAATTGGCTTCCCTTGGTGAAAAAAAATTGAGGGATTGACCTATCAGATGAGGCTCACGTGATGCCCCTTCCAACCTGTGATTGGTCAGGGCCATGCCAAGGGAAGCTGGAGGCGGCTGGCTTCCCTTGCCTCACAATCCAATCAAATCGCATCAATTTAGTGTTGCAGTGACGCGTCCTAAAATCCGGAAGTAAGCTGCGCTCGGTTTCCCTCGACAAAAAATCAATGGGATTTCTCCATAGGATTTTGGAAAATAGCTTGAAATAAGGTCAGTGGAAAACGAACCTGTTAGATAAATGCACGTTTTGTTCAGTCGGATAATATCCACATGTCTACCCTACTTTTATAATTTTCGAATCATAAATCTAATCGATAGAAGATAGATAGCGTCA